ATAGTTTATGATAGTTTACAATGGTTAATATTACGTATAATAAAGAAAAAAATTATGCAAATTTTCTACATATATTTAAAAAATTTTTTTTTTTATTCATTTTAAAATTCTTACTCTTTGATGGCTGAATCATACGATTATCCATTTTTATCTCGCAATGCATTTGAAGAGTTGCTTGACAAATTTCTTGACAGCAAATCAGTTAATAGGCAACGTAAAACTTTCATTACACATGAAGATTTCGACTTTTGCATTAGAGTTTTACAAGAACCTGCAAATACCAAAATTGGAAATGCAAAAGAATGTTACTGGGCCAAAAAAACATTTGCTTTATGTGACCTTGGAATGTCAACTAACCCTATATTGCAACTTATAAAAATTGATTCAAACTTATCTGTATGCCCTGTTGACAAGATATATGAAATACTGTGTAGTTTACATCAAGGGGTCTTGAAACATGTTGGTTCAACAAAATTCTGGGAAGCGGTATATAATCTACAGATTAATTAATAAGATTATAAAATGGAATATTAATTTATATTATTTATTTATTTATTTATTATTATTACTATATTATTATTATTATTATTTTAATACAGGTTTCTGAACAATATTGCTATATTCCACAATCTTTCGTTAAAGAATTTGTAAAGAATTGCACAACATGTGCAATACGAAGGAATTTTCCTAACCCAGTGGCTACAAAGCCGATAATTTTTAGTGCTTTTCTTAATAGGATTCAGGTCGACTTGATTTCTATGACTAGTATCCCCGATGGTGATTTTCGTTATATCTGTTATATGCATGATCATTTTACTCAATATTCTTGGGCCCGGGCATTAACAAGCAAGCGACCAATTGAGGTTGCTATCTTCCTTTTCGACGTTTTTGTCTGCTTTGGCGCTCAAATTATTCTCCAGAGCAATAATGGTCGTGAGTTCATAGCAGAAATAATCCGAGAATTATTAACTATTTGGCCAGACGTCCATATTATTAATGCCCGTCCGAGGCATCCGCAAAGCCAGGGGTGTAGAACGTGCGAATAATGTTCTTCAGCAAAAAGTATCCAAGTGGATGGAAGACACCGGAAGAAAGAACTGGTCTCGAGCAGTACCTTTATGCTGCTGTAAGTTTTTTTTTTTGATTCATTGTTATTTATACTTCCAATCTAATTAATTAATGTCTTTAATAGATGCGATGAATATTCAAACATCAAGACAAACTAAAAATAGTACATATGCATTAGTATTTGGACAAAACCCTTTATGGCATTTTACAATATTAAAAAAAATCAAAGATCAACATATTAATTCGGAAGATGAGTTACCTGAGAATTGGTTCGAACCATCCGAACCTCAAGATGATTTTGATCAGCAGGAAGTTGTAGAATCACTCTTAGGAGCCGCAGCATTAAACATAGAAGTAAATTTTTTTTTTTTTTTTTAGTACAATTAATATTTATTTAATTCTTTTAGGAGCAGGAATTGCTTAAATATGAATTGGAAAATGAAAGATTGAATGAAATAACTGACGATGAAGAATTAAATGACATGATAAATGAAAGATTGAACAAAATAGTGAACAATGAAATATTGGATAACATAGTGAATAAAAGATTAGATGAGCAGTTAAGTGAAAGGATAAACGAGCAATTAGATGAAAGGTTAAGCATAAGGGTAACTGAAAAAGAAAATGCTGTGATAAACATAAGTATTTTTTTTTTTTTTATATTGCCAATGTAGAAACTTTATTTTTATTTTTAAAGGCTTTTCTCTAACATATATACAGTTTTTAATTACATTTGTGCTACTATTACTAGTCATCCAATGTGGCATTATACTCCTTATTTTCCTATATTACTTTTTTATTAACTATTTCAAGCTAGGATTGGTTGGAACAACCTACTATTAGATGTCCCACCCATGCAACTATTTATTTTCTGTAATTTCTTCCCGATTAGTACATATTGACTGCCGCCATTGTGTTCATATCTCACGCCACCTTTTGGGGTGTAGCTGTAACACAATCTGTATCTCAATTTCAACCTTTCTAATTAGTTCTCAATTACGTACTATATTACAAAATTTTCTATTGTCCAATCTTGTATGCCAGAGGTGTTCCTTTATTTGGTAAAGCCATCCTCTTACCACAGCCCCTTGC